ATTGAATTTGTCACTAAATGTGTTCTATTAGGAGAAAACATTAAAAAGAAAAAACGCAATTAACACCTTTCTCTAAAGGTCAACTCCACTGTCATTCTGCATTTATAGAAGTCCTTTGATTAAAACATGCTAAAGTATTGTAGTGAACCACAGGCATGAACTCGTGGTTTGAATTTCATACTCAGTTGTATATATCAGTGGAGTAGATTCACTAAATGTTATGTCTCCTGCAAAATATTTTATTTGCGTCAATATCGACTGTTATTTTATCTAATCAATCACAATGTCACTTAATAGTGAATTACTTAGAGGTCTATTTGGGAAATATCTCCTTGACCTTCGTTAATTGAATTACTTTGCCGTGAAACAAATTCAAGGCACATTTCAGAGAAACTTTGAAACGTGTAAATTTCTAAACACCGTAGCCAATGTGGCCAACAATCGATTTTGTTTAGTTTTCCAAACAATGATTTAAAAGTTTCTAGTATTGTGTATGCTTGGAAGCATTTATGTAATCGATTAATCGACATGTTATCTGTTGTCGCAATAACATCGAAGATCGGATATAACAGCTGTATATTTTCCAGTCACTTGATAACTAATGTAAGGGAATTTAGAAATTCAATCGCATGTTTATTCTGTTTTGTTCATATTTTCACATGTGTGAATTTTTTTAGACTGTATGAAGAACAAAAATATTTTATTAATATGGTTCGAGTTAGTTTTTGTTAAATATATAACAATTGAATGTCTATGGAAAAATGGGTATGTGTCAATCATCAGATTAGACAATATATATACGCCTACATCGTGTCTGATTGAGTAGACACATTGATTTCTTATACAATACTGCATGGTTTGTACGTGGGCACTCAACTAACCAAAACATATATGCAGAACAGCTGTTCTCGTCAATCACATGTCATAAACACAAGACCCCTCAAGTGTGTGTTTGTAATTGATGATCAACGCAGTTGGGCAACCGAGCTAACACGCGGAATCATACGGTTTATATTGGTGAGTGAATAAAATTCCTTGATCGAAGGTGTTGTTAACCCAATTGCTAAGCGCGGCGGGTGAATGTAAGGTAATTCGAGTCCCCATGGACGCTGACATCCGTTGTAGCTTTAAAAACGGCGATTGCAGCCGCGATAAACACTAATTGCCGCTCGAAGATCTACTTTCCGATACTATATTATATTAGGGTCATCTGCTTGGGTTTGCAACATTTGCACATGCTTGAAAATGATGAGATAGGGGTTCTAATTCAATAACAATGAGTTGAGTAGAGTTCCCTGCGGTACACGAAAACGAATGACGTTTGGGTTAGCTTTGATGAACCGTCTACCACAATGGCAATGTATGGTTACTGAGGTGTTTGAGTTGTAGTTTGAAAGTCTGCTGGCTTGATACGAGTGGTGAAGAACAATGTTTTTGATTGCAATGTTTATATTTAACTAATAAAACCAAACTATATATATATATATATATATAATTTTAATTGCTTTTATCAATTACATCACGAGATTATAGACTTCATGTAATATACCATGACAGTTTTACCGAGAAAATATGCCAGATTCTTGTGGAATGAATATCAGACGATCCCCGCCCTACCTACATTATTTTCCAAATAAACATTGTTAACCTTATTATTTTATTTCAATTCCACAGAGAGTTTGAGAAAAAAATAATCAAAAATTTGTATCACGTACCAGGCCGACAATAAATGAGTACTTGAAAATCACTTGGCGATAACATAAAAACGATAATTAAGAGAAAATCGAGTTAAGCACATGCATCTCATCAACTCGAGATTACGTGACAGTTTAGTGTAATCGATATCTGAACAGAAACATTAGAAAGTGAAACCTAGTTCTTCACTGGGTGAGTAAAGAGTTCACAGTTATTCTGCCTCTTGCTTGACTTCTTGCTTTTTACTGATTAGTCTAGAAGCTGATTCATTCATTGCAATGATAACAATGGCGGCATAAAAGACTGTTACCCGAAAAAAGAAAGGTCTGACACAGTCGACTCCGGGCGCTTGCGAAAGAACTCCTACTTCGTCAGTGTTGCGAGAAAGACAACAACGAGAGAAAACATTTCTAGATAAGTTTAATATAGTATATACATCACTATTACAAATTGCAATTCAAATAAATCGCATGCCGATTACTTCAATCGTTAAACAAAATTGAATTTACACTTACTACGGCATTTTCTTATTTTGGAAATAACATACACAACCTTAGATCACATAAGTCGTATAGGAAAATATACAAGATCACAAAACAAATGACTGACAATAATAAAAACAAGCCACAAGAACAAAACTTGATGAGTACATTATATAGTACATAGTCAAATCAGTAAAAGGCAGTTGTATGAGCCCCATGTAATGATGTCATGTGTTTCGAGAAAAAGTGGACACATCTTGTTCACCATATGGAACCCGACATATATCTTCCTGAGTCGTAATCAATTTTCAAGTTCAACCGTTTACGTCGCACATATCACGACCATCTATCCTGCTCAGTTATATTCAGTGGCCGATACCGCCGAGAAACAGGTTTGCCGTGTGCGTATTTCACAGTGGTATAGCCAAATTGCCAATAGCATACAAGTATGGGTCCTTTCACCATTCAGCGAATTCACGACGGCACGTTTACGATCTGGAATTATAATCATGAATACGTGACCGGCTTCAAAGGTCGGTTCCATGAAAAGCACCCAACTATTGAAATCAGTCACTCACCCCAGTTTATACCATAAGTCAGCACGCTAATCGCACTATTCTATGAATGATATAAACATACATGACAGCCACATAATATATTCATTGTGCAAGGATAAAAACATGTTATATACATAGTTAAACGATTTGAATGAAACCATTGAACTGAATGAACTACTTCGATCACAATATTACTGACAAACGATTTGTTCTGTTCTACATAAATCTAGTTATTTTCTCTTGACCTCACTTTCTCTTCGTACTATAGCCTTGTTGGATTTAATAGATATACATTGTATAACAACTCATATTGTGGAAACGTACATGGAAACATTATTTCTTACCATGGCCGTACAGCTCAGATGTAGCACAAGCGACAAACGGCATTAAACTACCTTGTTGTTTGAATGTATATATATATATACGTATATATTAAATTTAGTGTGCGCGGCGGGAGAGTGGTTTATTGGTCCAATAAAGTACTTGATTTATTTATCAGCAAATATAAACATTGTGTATTTTTAAGAGAAAATGTTGCACCGCGTGGAATGTTTCGTCGTGTGTGCGTTGTAATAGTTGTATTCACATTTAATAATAACGAAATGAGTACTGTTTACTAGTAGTACTAGCACCTAAATCAGCTGCTTATCAGTCTGGTCTCTCACTGTACATTATTTATTATTTTCGAATAGAAAAACGTTAATTTGAAACAATATATTAAATTTAAAATATAACAACATCATAACTTGGATAATCACATTGAATTGAACAAGGATACTGTTAATTAAAAAAAGGTTCTTCCACGTTGTCTGTCTATGCCAGTATGTGATAAAGATTCACTTATAATGGGCAATCCGGAAAGAACACTCCATATAAGGGTTATCTTAAGTTCGAGTAGGAGTCGGCATCATTCAATGGTACATCCATTACTAAATGACATGTGAGATAAATACATAAGGGTCAGCTCAAAACTAAAACATTGTACAAAAGGACACCCACTGTAATGTAGAAGTGTGATTTATAATAACACTCGCAGTTTAAGCCTCGCTAAGAGGATTTAACTAAACATTTTTGAGAGATGGTAGTGATAGAAAACACACTTACATTCAACGAATTGTGGTATAATTGCGATGCTATTATAAATAACTGCAACGAAATAATGTGTCCGTGCAACTGAAACTCGGTTGAACCACAGGTTGGTACCAATTATTAAACTATTAATATTAGTTAAACAAAGAATATATCATTCTCTATAAGTCAGTATATACAATCTTTGAATGCTATTGTCGACACTAACGCATGAATCGTGGTTCTTATTAAGTGCTGCGTTTACAAAGTGCAATGACAGAATATAATGAATGATAATTTTTCGATTTTCGCCTCTAAAGTGCTAATCAATAGCATCAATTTACATTCCTTATTTTGTCAACTAGTCCTTAGTTGTGTAAAGTGCACTGAGTAGATGTAATCGCCATTGCGTGGTATATATATATATATACCACACCTATTACACCAATAAAAATATTACTCACTTAAGAATCACTTTCATCAAATCCATCCATTCAGGTGTCAGATATCTCTACAATGCACATACTTGCGCATTACTTCAAATCGCAAATGCAGGATCATTGATTTACGGAAAAAGAAAAAACCTTGGACTCAAGAAAATCAATTTTCCTCATTCTTATCAGGTCATGCGACAGTTGAATTATTTCAAAACAGTTTAGCGGAGTCAGAGGTTATCATGAAATTCACAGAACTCTATAAACAATCAACTGAGATTCGTTCGTATTATTTGGTTAAGTAAAACATACTACCGTATTTAATGTATTCTGTTTCACGGCCCAAATACATGTTCATTATTTTGCATTTTACGTATAAAGTAGTCTCTGTACTAGGACAATACAACTTTACGACATGCTATGATATGTATAAATCTCGGAATTTAAAATTTAGGAAATAATCACTTTGATAGAGTTGCTAATAAACACTGCTAAAATGTAAAGCATACATAATTTAAAACAAAAAATAAATACATGACTGACATAGCGATAAACGTTTCCATAATTTTCTTAATATACTTCAGACTGAGCTTTCATCGTGATTGTTGGCCACCACAGTCGTTTCATCATATGTAACCGATTCGACGACCTGCAAAAAGACAAATACCTTGTGTCAGTCAGACTAAATGGCGTACATTATTATAGAAAAATGTTGCAACTGCAACGTTTGCTCTGAACGTACAAAACGCATGAGCTGAAATGGTTTAACATATGACATTTCCGTGTACAAACAACATGAATTCATTAAATTGTGCATTGCCTTTTAAACAACACATCGTACTTGCCGTGAATTTATCCCTCCAACTCCAAACCTTTTGATTGGAAGAGCGTTTTGAACCATAAGTCGTGTCAGAACTTCCGCTCAACGTTCTGCGCACGCGTCGTCTCCCGCGTCTTCTTCGTCGACGGCAACAGATAGTGTTAGCAAATGGCAGAAATCCAGCCCTAAACTTGCGCCCAATAAAGGTGTAAATAACCGGGTTTATGCAGCTATTTGAATAACTGAGACCAGTACTTAGAATGAAGGCAACCACCAAAGCCGCCGAAGGTGCACTCTGGGCTGTATCAGATAGTGCTAGTCTTAGTTGAACAACGTAAAAGGGCAACCAGCAGACGACAAAGGCAGCTACGATGGCAAAAACCAATATGGCGACCCGCTTCGATTCCTTCTTGCTTGACTGCGTCGAACTTGGTCGCTTAGTAATCACAAGATAACGTAGCATACATATATAAGAAGCGACGATGATGGTAAGAGGCAGGGCGAAACCCAGTCCAAACGAGTAAAAGACATACACTGATTCAAAATGTTCGTAAGGCCAATTGGTGTTGCACAACAGGGTTCCATTAGCTTCCGGTACAATGTTACCATAAATCCACAATGGCAAGACACATAATGCAGAAAATACCCAAATGAAGAAACATATAATACGTGCGTTATAAACAGTCCTGAATGTTATTGATCTAAGGCCATGGGCGATAGCCAGGTAACGATCAATACTCATTAATGTCAGGGTGTATACACTTGTGAATTGGTTGAGACCATCAAATGCTATAACTATTTTGCAGACGATTGGACCGATTGTCCACTCATGAAAAGCATGCTGATAAGCTAAAAACGCCAAAGCAATCATAAAGAGTAAGTCCGCAGCAGCCAAGTTGAGGACGTAGACGCTCGGTACTGAACCAGTTGATTTATATCTCACTGTTACAAATATTACCAAAAGGTTCCCCAAGATTCCTAAAATGCATATACATCCGTAGACGATAGGAACAGCTACAGCCAGTGCTGCATATAAATTGGCATGAGGGTTTCCAGTAAAGTTCGTCTTTGCGGAGGCTGAGAAATTCTCGAGTAGGCCGTCCATGATTTCCGAGGGAGATGGCGGATCTAAAACAAAACAAACGCTCTATGTCAGCAAATATTATATCGCCTAAACAGATTTCATAGTGAAGAAGCTTATTAAAATATCCATGCATGATGATCCACACAAAATAATGAGGGAAAAGTAGTAAATCCATCCCAATGTCTATGAAATGTGAAAATGATATCATACATCGGAAGACATTATTCACAAATGAAGCCAGTCTCAGCATATAAGTTGCGAGTTTCTACAAAAGGCGTGATCCAATGCTTTACATTATAGAAATGTGATGTGTGTTGATAAGCGTACTTTTATATTCACCCAGTAGTCGCTTGTATGATTACGCAACAATGTAATTCACTGCAGTCACGGCAAAGGCGTCAATTATTTAGAAAATATATTCCTGTATCTTCTTTTACGACAATGAAATATTTTAAAAGATGGCCGTACGTTTAAAAAAAAATATGTATATGTTCGAGAAGACATAACCATCAATGATCGTGTCGTTTATTTCTTATATAGTTGTGGCATACTTCTTTTATAAAATATTTATACCCACGCACCTGATAAAGTCAAATAATGGTACACAGAAACAACATTAGCAAAGGGATTATACAGTAAGAAATTTTTTTTTTTTCAAATCGAATAATCGTCTATTGCATTACGTATTGTCATACAGTAAAATACTACAACTAAAAAGATTGGGTGTCCTTACGCTTTTGAAAATGTACATAATTAGCTATAGTGGACAGAAATCTGTCTGGTATGCAGCCAGATGGAGACAGGATTACGAAATGACTTAGGAGTGTAATCCCATTCCATCTATGCTCTATCCCTGAATGTATTGATTTATTTTTTGTCTTGCAGACCCTTTTTGGCTGTGTTATATAATCCCTTTTAATACGGTCATAACAGCAAGACAATTATCGATAAAATGTCGTGAGATTGACTAACTTGATGTATGCTTCCATATAATAAACTTCAAATTATCATTTCAATACAACCAGCCTTAGATAAATGTTTCGGCATGAACAGGCAGATTTGGAAAGGATTTAATGATCATAACGCGAGACCTTGACCTTATTTCAGCACAACCCTCCGTCAGTCTGTGTTTGATTTGTTTGTTAATCCTAAAATGGGCATTAAGTCTCCGTCGACAATTCTGTGTCCCTATTTTTCCACGCAAAATGAAACATGCTGATACTTCTGAAAGAATGTTTATTTTGCACGTTGTATATACGGTGTTTTATGAATAAATAAATTAATCATATCAAATCTGCCCATTGACTTTAACGACGAGGTAAGTGAAGAATAAAAAGAAACAATTTTGCCAGTACCAATATCAATATGATCAATATATTTTTACAAAGAAAATTTAGAAATTGTTCAATAGACGCTAATTACTCGGGCATAGCTCTGGCATGACTTCGAATTATTGTAGCCCGCGATTTTTTTACAATTGACCATAACCCACGAACTGGCGAAGTAGCCTAACATTCATACTTCCAATTGACAGTTAAGTGTTATCAATTCAACTCAATTAATTAAGATTTCCATCTTTCCCATGCGCGACACTCGTATGATAAATCGGCGTGCAAATCGTAGATCATATTGAACAAAGTCACTATAAAGACTCTGACGCCGGTGTTTACACTTGACGATGTATTCTTGCTGGAGGTGAAGGGTAAATATTGACACGGATAAACTATAAGGTGGTGATATAAAAAAAAAGAGATTTAATCTGATAACAAGGACGGAGCAACGCAGTCTTTTTTTGTAATACCACAGATGGCATTATTTATTTAAGTGATGCAGACATTTCCCAATATACGGAACCTTAGGCAAGACTAAATTGATTTAACAATCCAAGCTGCCGTAGTTGGATAACATGATGGAGTATGTTATTCACTGGGTATATTAGCTTGCATTTATCGTTCGTCGTGAATATAAACGAGCAATAATTTTGAAACTATCGGTCATTTTGCTATGAATTTTATAGTAGAGCGCGGCAGTGATCATGTGTGGGGCTGCCGTTGATAAAGGAATTGTGATTTAACTCAAGCTGCACGACACATTGGATGAATCAGCAAGATATACAATGAATTATTCTACTGATGAATTCTCGTAGGGAACAGCATAACTCAGACACAACAACCTAACTTTTGTAAAGGACTATTCAATCTCCAGCTATTACTAGAAAACGTTCAATTAACAACATGAAATCTTTTGTTTTTGTTTTTTTGGAAAAGAGCCCACAGATTAAAAAGTAAAATATCTCACAAATTACAATATAAAAACTGTTCGTTGTTTATTTTCGTGTTCTTCTCTGAAATGTGAATGAGTTAATGTATTGATTATGATCACGTGGTATACCAGCGGAGTAAGTGCTTCACTTGTACCGTATTTTACACGATACACAAGGCTGTTGGAATTTTGAGCCGTGTAATCTTATTGTTAATTTCTCTGCTTGTTATTTTCAAAATAGTGTAAGTAAGCAAGTCTTAGCTGCAAGTAAAGTTGAGAGTAACATAAGCTTCTCTGTTTGTCGATTCCGAGAAACTACGCACATTCAGTACAAATTACTGTTCGAATTGAACTGTCAAACCTAATAGATCGACGGGTAATTTGTAAAGGTGCTTACAAACATAGGAGATGTTTTGCATGGACTACATCAGTCAGCGATGACTGGTGGCTACGGAAGCCTCGCTGATGATGAAGGATTGCTGTTTAACGAGTTTACTGTTTACTTCGTCAGTACGCTGTATTGATGTATAAGCGGGTGTTGCTTTGATGAAAAAAAGCTGATGAGAGGAGCTATTCTGATTCCACGCACGGACTCGATATGAGACACGAACATAGCAATTCTTGCTGGCCTTGGAAGGTATACGCTTTAATATACGTGAATAGTTTAATCGATCCAACAACACATATTCTACTCCCGCGATATACTAGTATGTTAACACACGAACAACTAAAAGGGACAGTTGACAAATTCGTCCGTTGAGTTAAGTAAATGTATAACTTAAAATTATATTCCCGAGTTTAATCTTAGACTAACGATTCGATTTCCCCATCAATATGTTTGGGATTCTTGTGCAATACAGAAAGATATATGCGTTAAAACTAAGCCGGCTAACTAGTAAAAACACAATTTCAAGCACTATACGTACCCGTTTTTTTACAGAGTGAAAAGTTACATTAACATTTAATAAATAGTTAAAGAAAAAGTTGTAATTTTGTGAGTGCTAAAGTAAACTGAAATAGAATTGTTTTAAAAATTTTCTAAAATTTTGATTTAAGACATGTAGACAATTACATATTATAGTCATAAGGTAAAAAATACTAGAAACTAATATGAACAGATACATTAAAATAAGGCACTCAAAAAGGTTACAGAAAATATAGCAAGTAACATCGGCACTCACGTGATGACACACGTATTTGAGTACTTCACTTCCAATCACGTCACTTATTTCCTGGGAATTTCCTTTGTCGCGAGAAGGAAAACATGCGTTGATGGTCAAACGATCTAGGTCGATTTGTAAATATGACGTTTGCTTAGTCATACAACATCACATGAGAGATGACTTCTGGGGCGGTTATTGTGGTTAACAACTGAATCAGTCAGATTGGCAACAAAATTTGTAAAATGAATTAAAAATACACGTATGTGACTGAGACACTATGCACTCATGTACATGTAAGACGATGTTGATGTGTTACCCACCAAGTAATATAAGTACCGTGTTTGTAATCGGTATTGCTGGCAACTATGCATCCAGAGACTTGACGAATTAAGTGAAACGCAATCTGACTATACGGTAAAGGAAATTAGGTAATATTACGCTTTTGAAGCCTAGAACACTATTCTACTTGTTCCAGACTCTTAAAAACGATATCGTGTTACACTGTGACAGTGGTGCTAGTAAATAAAAGAATGAAGTCATATCCATGTTCTACCCGAGTTCTTGTCTTGCAGTGCGATTATCAAACAAACGTAACCTCTATTTGACGATTCACGTACATACATATGCACACGCACGTTATGCAATCCGAATCAAATCCCACCCTTCACCACTCGCATTTATGTACTCTTTGTTTTGTAAAATCGGATTAGTACGAAGTACAACACATCAATCAGTCATATACCGAGTGTCGAGTCCCCTACAAGATTGTTTGCCGTTCGTGATTATGATAGCAACTTTTACACGCACTGAGTGCATAAGGTATGAAGTGTTCTACATAGATACGGTACATTTAAAGAAATGTATTGATGTCTGCGACGAAAGGACAGCCATTGAATGTTTAAACGAAAACATATAGGCAGCAGAACAAATGCAGTCTTCGACAATTCATGTTGAAAATGCATTTCCTGTATCTGATGCCACAATGAACCTTATTAATAGTAAAGTCTATAGATTGCCAGATATACATATACTAAGTATCACGAACACTATTTTGCCTTTTTCCTATATATGGCCACATAAAACGCAATGTGCTGATGTCAAAAATGATACCACAAGATGATACGAAGTCTACCTATTTGATAAATTGATTTAATAAATGAGTTTCGTAGACGCAGTGTAATCCAGATGTGGATATAATTTGCACACCAAACGGACACGGGGGGGGGGGAGGACGTACGTGCAATGACAATTTCGATGTCAAGTTGGTACATACCACTTCAAAATAAAACAACCTGAACTTTGAATGAAGCAATAATCTATATATATTGTCCAATAACCAAACGACCTCCGACGCCTTTCGTATTTGTTGTCCCGTGATCTCAACAGGTCGAACAGCTTGCAGGACAACCTCGAACTTTGAAATACGCAATATGACGGACGGCGATATTAGTTGGCCAGCATAACAACTTTTACTTTTTATAGTACAAAATAAGCCACATGCTCGAATCTTATTTAAATTAATCAATTATATCGAGTATGTGACGGCTGATATGAAGCAAAATATTGCGACGTTATTACTATAAAAGCACATTTCTT